CCACTACGATTTTGAATGAAAGTCGAGTGCGGGGCGCATCCCTCACATTGACTAACGCCGAAAACTTTGTCCTTTAGCTCTTATTGTGACACTTATAGTTTTTGCACTTGTTACTTTGAAAAGGTATGATAGAACCTTGAAGTGGGTCTTGTCGTGATCCCATTACAGGCCACGCGACCGCTCTCCGTGAAATTCAGTCCCTTTTTGGGTCCTACATAGGATGTACGATCGCCTGTAAGCATTACGTTTTATATTCAAAATAATTACTCTGAACATAGCAAATTGTATGACTTAACAAGACACCCACTGTCTCCTTGGGGATCTAATCCTATGGGATCAATTACAGCCATTCACACAGAGGTGCCATCTCCTCGTTTTTCAGGTTAATTAAAACTGTCTGGAAATCGTTTTTATCGCAACGGTGAATGATTCATGGATCACATGGTCCTAATGAGATTCATGGCTGATATCCACATTGCAGTTTCCGTAATTAGCAGAAACGGATCGGCTATAGTTTCTGGGATGAGATTAGTTTAGCTACGATATCCATCTGTAGACTTCATTTGCGGTGTTCAATTGAAAGATGAGGAAAAGCGATGCATCACCCTGTCAGACGCTTATCCTTCTTATTAGGTCCTTTGGGGACAGCTAACGAATAGCACTTGTCACTCTATACATCTGTGAGTAACGTGCGGAAATGTAATGTCAAAGTATGGCTGTGACACGAGATCTGAATGTCGTGCTAAGTCCGATTAACCGTGGACCCCTTCTTGAGAATGTGGGGATTACGTGACCCATCGTGGTCAAATATTGAGCATAAGGGCTCGTAGGAAAGAAGTGAGTTCATGGTTCACTCGACATCATGCAGAAGGGATGATTTCTCAACGACCATTTCGGTCAGGTTTATTAGTTGACCCGAAGAGCCGGAGCAGCCGCAATGGTTATATGGATCACTGAAATGGCTTCTGATTTCTGCAGACCGATTTACTACTTTTNTGGTGGTCGTGGTAAACTTTAGAAGTATTTTACTGATTTCCTAGAAATTCTCTGGAAATTTAGTCTGTGTGAACTCCGCTTAATCATTATTTCCGATTATTATTATTCAATCTGGAGTGAATACAATGTTTCACCCTTCAATGGAGTTGTAGAGGTAGAAAGAAAGAAACAAAAGACAATAGAAAAGGGGGCTACCGTACGTCGAGACTTCTTGAAGAGCAGTTATAAAAAAGGATTGTGTGTACATGTATCGCTATATGTACTAACATACTTTTTGAACTTAAAGATATGGAATGAATAAAAATTCTTAAACGCCATGACAATGTTTGGAAGCATTTGATGAAAAAATCTTTCAATCTCTTGGACTTTTTAACTTGACTCTTTGGTATTTCATAGCCTATACAAACTTCAAAAATCGAGAGCTCGTTGTTAAGACAATTATAATGGCAATCGTCATCCTAGACCCCCTTGAAATCCTTTTTGGTTAAAAGCTTCTCTAGAACCCTTACTTGAAATCCGTCGGAGCATTGACTAGCTCCGTTCTTTCAAAACTGCCCTGACAGACTGCTACTTAGGCTGATATAAAGATCTGAGCTTGTCTTTCTTAAAGATTTTATTGGAATATTTGTTTCTGTGAGTTTGAGATGATAAGCCTAAAAGTCATTTTAGCCTTCAGATACATAAGGTCCGAAATATACCGTACAGCTGTCATTGAAAGGCTCTATTCTTCTGGATCATTCTATGGCTAGAAAGGGTCCATCATAAGAGTGGACGATGAGTTTAGCTTTGGAAAATCTCCTCCCATTTGCCACTGCGAGCGGTGTATCTACAAGGGAACATGGGATTGAGTAGCAGAGGAGACGGAATGAAAATATTGAACTTTTGTTCGGACATCACACCTCCTATTTGGTATTTCTTGAAGTCTCAGTTTAGTGAGATGGAGATGATGCCGTTGGAAGCTGCAACTGAAATTCGCACTCTTGTGCAAAATCCTTTTCATTGCCCTATTCTTGTGTTGCAACTCGAGATTGATTTGACACTAACTGGATAAAATCGCCTCATCACCTCAGAATGCCAACGTAAATGCAAATTAGATTGCTAGAAAGTCGTCCATGACTGTGTAATGCACTTATCCTCATCTTCTGAGTACTCCTGCTGCAGTGAGACACTTCAGCACGCCTCGCTGCAATGTTGTGAATGATGCTATTGAAAAATTGCTGCGTACGTGATTTAAAAAATTGCCTTGCGCTACGCAGTTATTTCCATCCTCAACTATGACACCTCATTTCCAACTTCTAGTTTTTCTGCTTGCAGCTTTTCTGAACTTCATGTTGATATTCAGCCCAAGTTCTAATCTACTGAAGCTAGACCGATACTCGGGGCTCTGCTCAAAACAATTCATTTAAGAGCGTCATTTTGTGTTCCATGGACCCATAGAAACCGAAGTATTCATCTAAACAAACGCCTAGATAGCTCGTCCCACATTAGCTTCACTTCATACACTTCGTTTTTCACAAAAATCTTCGGTTTCCTCTCCCATCTCACAAAAGGTTACCCAAGCGAACATAGTGTGTTGAACAACGGCTCAAAACTCTTGATTTATTATTTTGTTGAAATAGTCTCCAACAGTTTCTCACGCTAGATTTCAAAGCACATTCTATACCCTCATATACTTCTATTTATGCTTGATGTTATGGGGCCATGAAACTTCTCTCTAGGCAGCCTGCTCTGCAATCACCGCCTCTCCACTCTCGATCGCTTTGGCGATTGCTATCCCTTGTTCTACAACTAACTGCAGTGGTCAGTAGGGTGAGTACAGTCACCAACTCTCCACTCTCGATCGCTTTGGCGATTGCTGTACCTCTTTCTACAAGTAACTGCAGTGGTAAGAGGTGCAAGTGAATAGCTGAGCGTTTTTTTTCTGCCCACTAATGATGTCGGAGCCACCAATGGCATCAATGAAAGTATAATACTATCTTTAATTGCATTTCATTTCAATACTACAAACATGACATCTGCTATGTATGTGTAATGGGAAGCGCCTTAACCGCAATGGTTCCAGTTGTTTTGCAAGGTTGTGATTATATACAACGACGGCATTCTCTGTTTTCTAGCTATGTATTCCCTATCAAGTTTTGCTGTTGGCATACCAAACGTCCGTAACAAATATTTTAATAAAACTCTGCTCTCGTTTTAACCTCGGCATATTGGTGCACGAATATGGTGCTCCTGAGACTTGCAAGAATTTCGGATGAAACCATTTGTCGTCCTGACGTTTGACATGATCGCCTTCTTCAGAAGCCAATGACATTGTTCGATAGAAGTTTTTTCCGAACTTTTCGTCTACCGTCTGTCGTCTCTTGTCTTTGACGATGACCATCATGGCTGAACAACAAGCCTTTCGGAACAAATATAATTCCATCTGAGAGGCTCGCATAATATTATTACGATTGTAAACTATTCTGAAGCATAATGTACTATAATTCTGAGGTGTTGAGCTTGAGAGTTATGGAGCAGGATAGTGCGAAGATGGCGAGAAAAGGCAAAACGGGCTGATTTTAGAAGAAGAAAGAAGAAGAGAGCGACTGAAGAGATTGTGTGTCTGTAAATGATTGGGTGTCCCCGGCGGGAAGAGGTGATGTAGTGGCTGAGTAGACACGGCTTCGAGTCATGGAAAGATATCCGCTCAAGCCGTTCAAGCCTTCTATATCTCCACTGTCGTTTAATTGCTACAGCACTCATCTGGGAGGATTTAAGCACTGAGTTTTCTTGGGCTGACCACCGCAAGACATTGTATGGGCCACCACGATGCTAAATTGAAGTCGAACGGCATCCCTCAGTCGACATTTATCAATGCCCGAAGACTCGACTCTTTATCCGATATTGGTGCGACCTTCCTGTAAGCTTTCTCGGTAACTCTATGTAATAAGCAATAGTTGTACTTTCTGTACTGTAGGTGTCTTGCTCTTTCTTCCTGTCGTTCCTGTCGGGGATTTGCCATGCGCAACAAGCTTCACCTAAGCTTATCATATAATGTCGAAGGTCCAATTCAATGGGGCCATTGGTCTCTCCATGGTATTCCAACTGCTAAAGAAAGTACCTATTTACTGATTACGAATTCACTAATCACTAAGAACGGCGCTTTGAGTTTGAGAAACCACCCCCTCAGTCTTTTCAATGGCAATAGGCTCTGCGTAGAAATTCAAAACAGTACTCATAACAAAAGTTTTTTCTCACGATAGACAATTTCCTTTCATTTGACACTTCAGTTTCTTATAGAATTTCACATTTCAGATATCCATATGCATTAAGTGGACAAATTATAGCAATTCATAGTCCACCTACGTAATAAAGTTGCGTCATACTGTTACCTATAATGTTCAACCAAAAATTATGTCCTAAATAATGCTGTAATTTCAGGAATACAGGCTGCGTGAAATATTACTGTAGCATTCATAGGAATCATTATCTAAATAATTGGTGGAAATTTGCCAGGAACAAAGTGGATATCGGTTCCCAGTATGGGTTTCACCCCTTCCGAGGTTTACCATAGTCGTAAGGATTGCTCTATGCATGATCGAGTCCGCGTGGTTTCTCGCTCGGGCTTCGGTATTAGCAACAACGTCAACGATGACTTTTTTATAATGATTAGATTTTTGCAAAAGAAGACTGAGTATTCGAGCAACATGATTACGAGCAAAAACAAAATGTTGTTCCAAGGGCAGACCTCAGAACTTCTTTTATTCCCTGATTAGTTGCCAGAATTCTATCCAAATTAGGGTTGTAATGCATTGAGGATGGTCGACGTTGACCTTGTTTGTACGTTGCTTGAATGGAGCACATAACACCGATGAAAAAGGTCTTCACATAGCTTTTTTCTCACAGTGAAGCTGATTTCAGGTTACATTCTAAATAATGTTCCTATTCCTCAGCTATCGTCTGTGGGCGATAACACGTGGGGTTTCGCATCGGTAACTAACTGATCAGCCGCGTTTTCCATCATTTTGGATAGAAATAGATGTAGTGAGCCGATGAAAAAAGATGAAGTGCAATGAGGTGATGGATCTTGGCCTAACCAACTTCGTCTTTTTAATGAATGGAATAACACTGGTGTCTGAATGAAATGCTCACAAAGCATATAGCAGCAGAGTTTTTTACAAACAAAATTTTGTTCATAGGAAAACGAAGGGTTTCCTCCGGCGGATAGACTGAACTTAGCTTACGAGGTCTTCAGTAAGGAAGTGAGAGTGAATCTGTAGATGCGATGCCAAGGCAAAGTATTGGCTGAGTGCAAACAAATGCTACCTCCAAAAAAAACCTATGCATTTTCTTTTGAGATCCCTAAAATTCTGTATGGTTCGCTAAATCTATCGTTTACAACTCGTTAATTTTCGATTCAAAGTTGTCATTTCTAGGTGCAACCGACGAATATTGTAGGGCTTTTTCTCGTTCACCAAATGCCTAAAAGATTGGGAAAAGAAGTTCAAGGACCCGGAGGACCAAGCATTATCAGCCAAGTTTTCACAGAGATGAGACGGTTGCCTCTTAAACCCGAACTGCTTTGTAGTGGCGGTGAGTTGGGATGCCCACTGCAACGGTTTGGGGCCAAATAAGAGTGCTCGTACTTGCTCGGTCCTTTAGCTGGCGACAAATCTCAGTGTAATGGCATTTTTGACTAGTTCCATTTTGGCTCTTCTTACCAAAAATATTAAGTGGTGAATAATAAACTACTGGACATCCAAGGACCCTGATAGCGGGGATTTTCCTTCCCGTTAGCTGGAAAAACGGCATGTTGTGGTTCTCTACATTTCGACTTCAACAGCTCCTTCTTCTCTATCTCAGACAATGCCACCTACGTAATGAGCCCATCTCTCAGTGTAGTATGTAGTATTCATGAAAGGGGACATAAACTGAAATAGATAATCCCCTTTTCTTTTTTTTCATTTAGCAACCTTTGAGTAAGAGGCTTATGCAGTATTCAAGGTAAATGTTATTATTGAAGACTTTTGGGTTACTTTGAAAAAAGTCGACAGACTCCGTCTACTTTTTTCGAAGTAACCCAAGAGTCTTCAACAATAACACTTACCTCGAACTTCTGCATAATCATCCTACTTGAAAGAGGCTGAATGGAAAAAAGAAAAGCATCCGAGAACGTCGCTATTTTTGTATGAGAAGCACTCACTGACGTATCATTCGCCTTGCTGCCGGGCCAGAACACTTACCAAGGAGGGGTAGTCTACTTATCTTGGAACTTTGAATGGAGACCCAGATGGATCGATAGAGTTTTGAATGCTGTTCACGAAAATGGAAATTAAAACTGCAAAATGGTTTTCCATAAAAAGTTATGGCGGCTCGAAATTTGCTTGACTCAACAGTAGCACACTTGCATATGCGAACTCGTCGCTTCGTTATCAAGTGCCAACGTGGCCTAGTGGTAGTGGTCTCGCTTTACAGGTGCTTCACGAGGGTTTGCTCCCCGCCATCGTCGGCATTTTTGCAGTGTTTTTTTTTCATTTCATTGAAGGCTCTCTGAACCTTTTCTGACATTTGTTTAAGTGAACGCCTTATTTCTGCCTTTAGTTTCTCTCGTCGCTCCTATCCAAGGAAGAACGGTTCTGCACTTAATCAAGTGATTGTATTCCATTTTCGACTCGAAGAAACATTTAATAGCGAGGTGCCAGAGATGTATAAGATGCTTGTGAGGAACACAGCATTAATAGGAGCAGCTGAAAAAAATGGATGCAACACACTTGTAGTTCACTAACTGCGCACATTATACATGATGCTCCTCTACAACCGGAGACAAAACAGTCATTTGTCTCAAGATTCTTTTGTGGGTGGGTGAGTCTGGGTTTCCAACAACGTACCCTGCCTTGTACCAAGAGCATTCCAACTCTGACCACTAGATTTGGAGTTTCGAAAAATTTTCAAGCCTGAAGAAATGCTGAAAAGTTGAAAACATGCGTTCACTTAAACAAATGTCAGAAAAGGTTCAGAGAGCCTTAAATGAAATGAAAACACTGCAAAAATACCGACGATGGCGGGGAGCAACCCCTCGTGCAGCACCTATACAGCGAGACCACTACCACTAGGCCACGTTGGAACTTGATAA